TAATTAGGCACGTCGCAGTTTCAAAGGCGTAGTCCCAGTAGTCATGGGGTACATTGCCTTGAGCAAGGAGAGCAAGGCCGGTTTCGACAATGTGTCTGTTCCGCCGCTCGACTCTCCTGTTTTGTTCATGCGTATAGGCACATGACTGGCGATGATTTATACCTAATTTTTCAAAGGTTGTATGGAGTTTACGGTATTCACCCCCTAAATCCGATTGAATAGACTTGATAGAACGCGAGAACTGGCGTTCTACCAACACACGAAACGACTCAAATGCTTTATATATGTCTGATTTCACCCGTAATGGGTAAAACCAGCAGAATCTTGAGAAATCATCTACAAATAATAAAAAGTAGCGAAATCCACTAGTTGATAATACAGGAGATGGACCCCATATGTCCGTGTATACCAAATCTAACACATTTTCACTACAATGAGAATTATTATCTAATTTAAAACGGGAAGATTTCCCAAGATGACATGAGGTGCATGACTCGACGGACGCAGGTTTATTGGAGGTGACCGGGCAACTTTTCAGTACTTTGTTGAGAACGTGTTTGTGCGGGTGACCGAGCCTGCGATGCCAGATCGTGGGATTGGTACGGGAACTCAAAAGTGCAAACTGTGACCGAAACAGCGGAAGCTTGTACAAACCACCTGTAGTGGGACCTCTAAGCAGGACCGCTTTGGTTGTGGAGTCCTTCACAATAAAACAAGAATTGTGAAATTCAAAAAATACATTATTATTAGTAGTAAATTTATGCACTGACAATAAAGGAACAGACAAAGCCGGGACATGTAATATATTGTTTAATTTTAAGGATTTTGACACAGATGGGATAGACGCATGACCGACTTGTGAGATTTCCAAACCTGCGCCATTACCAACCCGGAGGACATCAGGACCCCCGTATTCATCCGCATGTGTCATCATTCCTGCATCCGGTGTAGCGTGGGCCGTCGCGCCAGTATCCGGGTACCACCCGTCGGCCGGAAGGTTGACTGCCGCCGCCGGTGTCTCGTCGGATAACGCCACATGGGCTTGCGCCGGCGGTTGAGTGGTGTATCTTTTGTAACAATATACGGCGGTGTGACCGTGAGAGCGGCATATTTGACACCGCGGTGCGCCACGACCTCCACGATCGCCTCTGTTCTGCCCACGTCCCTGCCGGCCACCACCACGGTTTGACGCCGGCTGTCCAGTCCGACCACCACTGCTCTGGCCGCGACCGGGATTGGTGTACAGCGCCATGTGTGCCGCTGCTCCGTCTGCCTGGGGATAGTTATCAACTAAGATGAATTCATGCGCCTGCAAAAAGTCGGATAAGTGTGACAACGTTACTGGATTTCCAGAAGCCGTGAGGGAGGCAGCAAGGGTCTTCAGTTCCGGCCGGAGTCCTCGTAGGACATACAAATTCTGCTCCATGAGCGTGAGAGGTCTGCCGGCTTGTACCAATGATTCAACCAAGACGCCGGCACGCCCTAGATACTCGGCGGTTGTGGAGTTTCCCTGGCGAAGCTGTTGAATCTGCGCCAACAGATTCAGGCATCGGGCCTGACTCGAAGAACCAAGGGCGTTGGTGATGGCGGTCCAGACCTCGGCAACGGTGTTCCGGCCAAGGGCCAAGTGCAAAACTTCATCGGACATGGATGACACCAGAAGCGAAAGGATCGATTGATCCTGGTTCACCCACGCACTGTACGCGGGATTCGGGGTTGATGTCGCCGGTGTTGCACTGGAAGAATCACCTGAGGACGGAGCGGTGGAGATGGTCGCCGGCGGGCACGGGAACGAACCATCGACATAGCCCAGAAGCTCCTGCCCCCGGAGAAACGGTATCAATTGCGTACGCCAGAATAGGAAATTCCTGGACGTAAGCTTCATTGATACGTAATGATGAGCTCCGGCGAGGGAGCCACCACCGGCCGGCGAGGGAGTCCCGGCGGCGGAGACGGTGTGCTCCGAAGAATTCATCGACATGGCCGGAGAGAGAGAGAGAGGGTGAGAGGGGGTAGCGTTTGCACGGTGGAGGTAGAGAGAGAATCGTTACCTGACTGATACCAGATTAGCGAAAGCGATTCAAATCATTAACAGGATAATAGGAATTACAGAGTTATATCTAAAGCTGGACTCTAACCTACACCTGACTATTAGCATCCTACTATAACTACCATAGACTTAATCTATTACCACATAAATACATACAAGTGTTACACAAATAATAATATAAGAAATATTATCTATACTAACAGAGACAACATATATTCACAGATATAAAGTGTTATTTAGATTAAAAAAAAAAATCTTTGACAATTAACTATTTTGAAACCTGGGCGTTTACACTTAAGTTTTATTTTTTTTCAAAGTAAATGTTATTCCTGAGAATAAAGTGTTAAAACAAACAATAGAATATATTTATTAGTGAATTGATATAGATTTTTATAGTTTGTGGTGTTGTTCATTTTTATTGTATCTAAAAATAAAATAAAATATACTGAAAAGTGAAAATATTTAATTTTAACCAAATGATGAGGTCCTAGTTGGATAAACTAGAAGTCCCTATTGAGATAGTTTAAAAAAAAAAAAAAAAAAAAAAAAAGCCCCACTTTCCCACTTCGAAATGAACTCAAATCACATGGTGACATACTTAAAATGCCAAAATTAACAACCCCCACCCCCACCCCACCCAAAAAAAAAAAAAAAAAAAAAAAAAAAAAAACACTTTCCCACTTGGAACTCAAATCACAATTATAAACACTTAATTAAAACTTACCCCACCTGCCTCCTTTTGATTCTCATTCATTACTTTCACACACACATGTAATAGCACAATGTCACGCATTAGGGTGGGTATAATTTGAATTATTCGAAATAACACTTAATTTAAAATTTAAATTTTGGCAGAATTTGAATAGTTTTCGATTTGATTATTTTAAATTATGATATATTTGAATAAAAATGTGATTGGGATATAAGTGTTAAAATTTTATCCATATTCGATCCAAAATTTGAAATAGCATGAAATTTTGTTATAAATATAATAATAAATTATATACTAGCTATTAAATATATTTCACAATAAAATTATATTAATTTTTAAAGCTCTCTTAGTTAATTGATTAGTGTTTTGTGTTATTTTTAATTTGAAGGTATATATAACAAATATAAATACATAAATAACAAAATCAATAATAAATTTTTAAATTAATTAAAAAATCAGTATACCCAAACTAATCCAAAATAAATTTACCCAAACTGGACATATTTGAATTGAATTTGGTTTGGATATCATATTTGAAAACACTATTCAAAATTTTTGGATACTCAAAATAAAATTTAGGTATTATTCGAATTCAACCGATGCAACCCCTATGCATTATCTTGTAATTTGAGAGAAAAAAAGTTTTATGAATAATTTTTTTTTTTAAATTTGGATATTTGTCCAAATAAGTAATATCAGTAGATTATAACAATCTGTTTTTAATAAATGGATGATGCTACATTGATAAAAAGAAAAAGAAAAACTAAAATTCTTGACGTGACAATATAAATTTATTCTTTTTTTTTTTAAAACTTGAATTGAGGTCGATAAATTTATAATAATCAATAACTAAAAAGAGTTTTTTGTTACGTTAACTGATAAAAGATTTTGGTGAAAATTAATAATTCGTGTAGCTTTATGTTTAATAAATATATTGTATTTGTGAAATACTATACTCATTTTAGTTTTACCTTATAACTTTTACATTTTTTATGTAATAATATTTGATTTCAGATAACATGTAATGATTACATGATTTTTCCATATGAGAGATCATGAGATCGAGCCTTAGTGGAGGCGGTGTTGACTCCTTGTACTTCAACGGATAAATAGAGTCAGTAGTACTAAAAAAAAAAAATATTTGGTACATCAATTATTTGGACTAAAAAATTGATCAATTAACTAATTCACAATAATCAATAACTAAAAAGAATTTTTATTACAACATCATAAACTCATGAAGTGGGAAAGAGCTAATATTGAGGAGGACAAATAGATTTTAATAATTAATTAATTTAATACTAATAAATAAAAATGATAATGACAATGACAAAAGATAAAAAGTGGTATTCTTCTATATCTATATATGTTATTTCTATGTCTCATTTTACCTATTTACTATTCCTTGATTAATTTAACTTTAACTTTTAATTAATTAATTTAATATTTATTATAATTTTAAAGGTTTTTTTTTTTTTTTGGTGTTTCATAATGTAATTTTTAAATATATAAATTTTCTGTGAATTTCTTGTGAGATCATCTCACGATTCTTTTTCATGAGACGGATTGAATTTAGATAGAAATATAATGCTAACGGTGAAAAATGTAATACAACTCATAGATATATTGATTGTTATTTATGATGAAAAATGCAATACTTTTAAATTAAAATGTAATATTTATAGGTTTAAAAGTTAATTTTGAGAAAAAGTGCAATACGAAGTACTAATCATGATGTTTCAAAAAAAAAAAAAGTACTAATCATGAGATATTAATTAATTAATACTTATGATTAAAAAAGTAATATTAATCGTGAATTGATTTTCTTTATTAGAAAGTGTAATATTTATTAGAAAAAATGAGATATTTATGAAAAAAAATATACAGTAATACTTTTAAATTAAAATATAATATATTAGTATGTAGGGACTAAAGAATTATTTTATAATACACGTATAAGAAAATGTAATACTTAAGAAAAAAAATATTATCTGTCTTACTTACTGATAAGGATCTTTAGATAAAGATTGATGACACAATAAGAAATTTTGCAATGAATATTAACCAAATTAGGAACATGAAATAAGACAATTGGATAGGGTAATATACACACAATCTATGTCTGTATTCTATATACTACTATATTAGAGAGAGAGAGGGGGGGAGAGAGAGAGAAGACAAAGATTAGTATTGAGTACGGAGTTTTTATTTATATATTCTGAGTGTAGGAGAAAATAAATAAATAAATAAAAGCAAAAGAGAGAGAGAGAGAGAGGAAGAAAAAAAGTAAAAAAGAGGGGGCTCATTTTCTCTCTCACCACGTCTTTCTCCCTCGCTCTCCATTTCTCTCTCATCTCTGATCAGAGCTGGAACTGGACTGTTCTCGTGTGGTTTGATGTGCTGTTTTCAACTCCTCTCTTCAGTTCTTAGGTCTTGATTTCTGGGTTTTTGCCCACTTTTTCACTAATTTTGAGGTATTAGCTTTTTGGCTTCCCTCCTTCTGTCTCTTTGATTGTGTCTGTGTGTGTGGGTGTTTGTGTGAACATTCAGCTCTGTAAGTGTTGCAGCCAATGGAATTTGGTTGGCCCTGAAACATTCAAGTTTTGAAGGTTACAGATTTCCTCTCTCTGTGTTTTTCTTGTTGGTTGGTTCTATTTTTATTTTGTAGTTATTTTTTATTCTGGGTGTCAATTAATATGGTCTGTCTCGTTTCATTTCTCATTCTTATGCTTTCTTAGGAAGCTAGATTTTTGTTGTAATTTGGCTTGTCTTTATATGCTATTTGAAGAGTTTTAAGAAATTTCCTTTTTTTTTTTTGGTCCCTTTTTTTTAGATGGAAATTTTGTAGAAATAACTCTTTCATTAGTGTTTTACTACTTTAGTTTTGGGTTTCAAAGATTTCTTTTTATTTATTTATTTATTTATATGTAACGAAGGAATGCTGCCTGTTTGATTACTTACTGGCTATAAACAATTAATTATTGATCTATGCTGTGTAAATCTACCTGTTTTATTGTAAAGATACAATTTTTGCTCCTTTGTCCAGTTAAATTCCCTTTTTCGAAAATTTATATGGCTCTGGTGGGTGATTTTGGCTGTATTAACTGGAAAGGAGTTCATGGTGAACTCTTATGTGTCTATATTAAGAAGTTCAAGCTTTTGTGTATAGTTTTTTTTTATGTCCCCTGACTTATGGTTTGCTGGTTAATTCTGTGGAGATCAATTTTATAGACATATAGACCTGTGCATTCATTGTGTGGGAATTCTGATAGGCACATGAAAAAACACATATTAAAGGTGATCAACTTGTTATTGCAGCAATCAATCTTTAGTTTTTGCTTGATTTGTTTTCCATCTATATGCAACGAATTACACGTGATCTCTGAAATTAGTGCATCATACAAAGTTGTAAGAATTTCATGTCTATTTGGTTGCCAGCTATCTAATATCCGTAATTGATTCACTTATAGCATCCTTGTATATTTTCGATGAATGAGTAGGTAAAGGTACTTTATTCCTTGAATTTGGTGATAGCTGGATGACTTGTAGCGTGTTTCATTCTCTGCTTTAGAGGAGGTTTTCACGCTTTTATAGGGTTGTTTTGACAAAAAGTGGATGTGAAATAGCAGACTTTATGTAATTCCCGTGAATGATATTTTGTAGTGACTGACAGTTCAACCCACATTTTGTTGTAGGAGGTTTGGAGATTCCAATGACAAATATATCCAAGGGAAACACCGCATTGAGGGTGTTTCCTGGATCAGAAGATTGTTTTGATGCTTCACTTTTTTCGAGCTCACTGCCTGTTCTCTCCCATGAGAAGTGTATGTGATCTGTGTCGTCAAAATATTTTATGTACCAGTTCTGTGCATAATATAATGATCAAAGTTTTATTTATTCGATTTCTCTGATGCAGTGAACATGAGTGAGGTGGATCATGATCTGAAATCTATTGATGACACACCAGTCAGCTTGAAGAAGATCCATCCAGCAGTAGAGAGTGATGAATTGCTTGAAGAAATTATTCGTAATACGATCAAATATTTGCTTCCTGATGACGAGGATGAACTTTTATCAGGCGTAATGGATGGCTATGACCTGGGTGGACTTCCTAACCGCACTGATGACTTGGAAGATTATGATCTTTTCGGCAGTGGAGGAGGGTTGGAACTAGAATCGGATCCTCAGGAAAGCCTAACTATTGGTATATCAAGGCTAAGTGTCTCTGATATTGTTGGAGCGCCTCATAATGGGCTTCCCAATGGAGGTGGGGCTATCAGTGGAGAGCATCCTCTGGGGGAACATCCCTCCAGAACATTATTTGTTCGTAATATCAACAGTAATGTCGAGGATTCAGAATTGAGAAATGTCTTCGAGGTATTTTTAGTTACTCACACTTGCATATATTTCTTCTCCTAATGATCTTTTGGTACCATTTTCTTTGTTTATTTATGTTTTCTATCTTGCTCCTTTTAGACTGGACATCAAGTTTCATTCAGATTTCACTCTGAAATCTTCTTTCACCGTGATATTTCAAATATGATACAAAGTTGCATTTCTGCATATAAGTGTGTCTATGTGCGATTATTGCAATGTCCAAATTCCTAACCTCTCGTAATTGTTTTTGTGCATGCTTGTTCCTGTTTAATTAGCAATATGGTGATATCAGAACTATGTACACTGCTTGTAAGCATAGAGGCTTTGTGATGATATCCTACTATGATATTCGTGCTGCTCGAACAGCAATGCGGGCGTTACAGAATAAGCCTCTGCGGAGAAGAAAACTCGACATTCATTTCTCGATTCCAAAGGTAAGCCTGCTGCTAAAAGGTTATGCCTCGGGATTTTCGTTTTCTCACCTCCGTTCTATCTATTACCAGGATAACCCTTCAGAGAAAGATATTAACCAAGGAACCCTAGTAGTTTTTAATTTGGATCCATCAGTTTCAAATGACGACCTCCATCAAATCTTTGGGTCTTTTGGCGAGATCAAGGAGGTAACACACTTGTACAGCTATGTTCCTCCATTACTATGCTTATTGTTTGTCCCTCCGGTGCTATAAGAAGTTTGGTTGTGTTTTAAAACAGATCAGGGAAACACCGCACAAGAGGCACCACAAGTTCATCGAGTACTATGATGTTAGGGCTGCCGAAGCTGCTCTTAGATCCTTAAATAAGAGTGACATAGCTGGGAAGCGGATAAAGCTTGAACCTAGCCGCCCTGGGGGTTCACGTCGAAAGTGAGTATACTGGTCTTGTTTGTTTCTTATTTTCAAACTTATCAACATAGATACCAAAACCGTTGCTTTTTATTTATAGCCAACTCATCTATGTTCAATTAATAGCCAATCCAAATGATTACTGGAATTTACTCTTTTTACTGCTTACTTTCCTTAAGTTTCTGATAATTTGTAAATTCTCTTTCATTATACCTAATCATTATAGGATTTCCTTTGGTGGATGATCAATGAGTCTATGAGTTATTATTGTCCTCAGTTCCATTATATTAATGCTTCTTTATTATTTTCTTAAAATTAATATCAAGGACAACATTGACAATTAGGAAGATAATTTACTCTTTCATATTAAAGGAAGTGTTGCAACAGCACATGTGAGTTGAGTTGCCTTTTTGATAAGCTTTCATTCAAAATCAGTCACTGGAAATACAAAAGGGGAAAAGTAGTTAAATAACAAAGTTACATGGGAAAGGTATGGAACTGTTGGGCGAAGGCCGGTGAAGGGCCAAGTCCAGACTAGGTGGCTAGGGGATTGTTGGGTGGAGGCCTGAAGGGCCAAGTCCAGGTGTCCAGCACCCTGCCTCTCGAAAATGTGGCGGTAAGGAAGTAAAGTTGCGCCTTTGCTACAAGCTATAGCTTTTGGTGTAGTGGTAAGCGCTTGATCCTAACAGGCACGTTCATTTTGGAAACAAGGGAGATGGTGCTGTTAGGTAGAATCTGACTATTCCTTCCGTAGATGCTTGTTTTATGCCGTTTGATTTCTTGTTTTGATAAATGTTATGCCTTGTTCATTCCGGTCATTCTTCACTGATCTGTGTGCCATTCTTCTATCTCAAATACAGCTTTCTGGTACAAGTAAACCATGATCTTGAACAAGAAGAATCTCGAAGTTTACCTCACCAATTGAGTTCTTCAATTGGTAATTCTCCAACTGGTAATCTTTTGTTTTTATTGAGCTGGACAGTAACTTGTATGCCCTACTTCAGCTTCTGTTTCTTAGATGATGGCTGGCTCACCGTCTTGTGACAGGTAACTGGCAACTGTTTGGCAGCCCTGTAGATCATTCTCCCATTCAGAGCCTCGGCAATTCCAATAGTTTTCAATCTGTCAATCCTGCACCTGGCAATAATTTAGCTGGTTTAGCGTCGATTTTGTCTCCTCAAGCATTGAACACTGTGAAGGTTGCACCGATTGGTAAGTTTGAAGGAAGTGCTGGACAAGCAGAACAGCTAATGACTATTGGAAATTCGAAGCACGGTGCTTCCATCCCGCAACCTCATTCTTTTCCAGAGCCAAAACCGAGCTGGTATTCTGGGCCAATGTCTTCGTACGGTGCTTCTAGTTCAAATGGTTCGGGTATTGAAACACTATCTGGAACGCAATTTCTTTGGGGAAGTCCAAAGGTGTATCCCGAACAAAGTAACTCTTCTCCCTGGCATCCACAAACCAAGGGGCATCCTTTGACATCCAATGTACAGAGCCGTGGGTTTCCATTCTCCAATCAACATGGATCTTTTGTCAATTCATCCCAACACCGCCATGACGGTCATTACGTGGGTTCTGCTCCATCCGGTCTTCCTTTCGAGAGGCGCATGGGTTTCTTCCCAGAGTCACCAGAAGCCTCATACTTGAGCCCCGGTTATAAAGGCATGGGGGGCACAGGACCTCGTGAGAGAAGTTATATGAATAACATGGGTGGTGCTAATGGTGCTTTGAGTTCCAATCTTCCCATTTCAGGAAATATGACAGATAATAATGGCTCTCCTGGATTTGGCATGTTGCCTTCTCAAAGGTCGAGTCCCGCATTCATGGGTAGTGGTATCTTCCCGGGACCTGCTGCTATGGCATTTGAAGGTCTGACTGAACGTGGGCGTGTCAAGCGTGTTGACGTTAACGGGAACCAGAATGATAACAAAAGGTTTCAGCTTGACTTGGACAAGATTAGAAGTGGTGACGATACTCGGACAACTTTAATGATCAAAAACATTCCGAACAAGTAAGTAGCTTTTTGTCTATTCTTTCTTATTTTAGCTAATAATAATACCATTCTACCTTGTTTTAGGTAATAATTTAAAACATTACATGATTTATTTATAATAATCACCTTCCTCTAGGTACACCTCCAAGATGCTGTTAGCCACTATTGATGAACATCATAGAGGCAACTACGACTTTCTGTATTTGCCCATTGATTTTAAGGCAAGTTTTTAATGGTTAACTGTGAAGATATTTTTTGCAGTTTCCTGTGGTTAGAACATAGTACTGATAAATATTCTTACTTGCAATGCAGAATAAATGCAACGTGGGCTATGCATTCATTAACATGTTGTCTCCGTCGCTCATCATACCATTTTATGAGGTTTGTTTCTATAATTTATCCACATTTTATAGGTTTAAACCCTAAACCTGAGGGCCCCTCACCCCCCCTGCCCTGGGATTGTGAGGAGGTAAATTGCAGGATGTGCCTCAGTGAGGTAGGGTCTGAGTGCTTGCTTTTTGCCCGAAGGCTAAGATCCTCCCCCATTGAGGATTCAAATCCGGGTATTTGCTGGGTCACTACACCAACACTCAACCTTTCGACCACTGAGCTATGCCCCGGGGCTTTAACCGCATTTTAAAACTCTATAGTTTGAAGTATTTAATGTTTTTGCGTAGGCATTTAATGGGAAAAAATGGGAGAAGTTCAATAGTGAGAAAGTGGCTTCTTTGGCATATGCTCGAATCCAGGGGAAGGGAGCCCTTGTTGCCCACTTTCAGAACTCGAGCTTGATGAACGAAGATAAGCGCTGTAGGCCGATTGTATTCCATTCCGAAAGTTCAGAATCCGGTGCCCAGGCAAGAAAAACTAATGTGGACCTAATCAAATTGAATTTCGACTTCTCTGTTTGGCGACTAACATGACCGTGTTGTGCAGATTGTCCAGGAACATCTTTCTTCCAGTATGAATATTAAAGCCCGTCGATCAATTGTGCCAGGGTTATCGCAGTCTTCAAGTAGCCTGACAGAGGGATCGATTGAAAAAGGGGAGGAGCTAATAGTAGCCTGAAAGCATTTTGTTCTCAGTCCAAGCAAGCAGGCAGCTGCTGTCGGTTTTTTTTTTTTTTTTTTTTTTTTTGTATTATAGTAATGGCGGGTGGATAGAAGGCTTCCCGAGGGCGAGGGAAAGAGGAGTCGGATGTGGCATCCTTTGGTTCCTGCAAACAGGTGAAGAAGTTTGGCGTTTACTTTTTCTCGTGATACATTTTAGAGAAATTTTTGCGAGCTGAGATTAGTCAATTCAAATCAATCTCCGCTGTGCTGGTTAGGTGAAGGTGAAGGTGAAGGTGAAGGGTATAGTTTTTCGAAATTTTTGTTGTCTGGATGGAGAATGGCTCCTTCAGAATTTGATTGCAGGAGAACATACCTCCTCTCTTCTGTAAACTTGATTCAATGTTCAGTATTCTAAACCTTGGATGTTATTTTTATTTTGGGACAAATGCCTTTTGTTAAGAGTCAGTCTTATCAGCTTTTTGGTTTTTAAGTAAAAGTGGCTTTTTTTGGAATGTGGTTTTGTTATTTGTTTTGAAAACTTTTATGATACTCTCTTGTTTGAGGTTTCTGCAACCACAAGGTAGAGTGTTGAGTTGGTAATCACAAGGTTACAAGTTTGACTCTCACCAGGAATAGTTTATTGGCTTCATTGGTTTGAGTCGATTAGTTATGAACAACTTATAATGGTTTATCTTTTTGCCGTCTTTTGCTGTTAGGGTTATAAAATGAAATTCATTCAGTACACACTTTTCGAATAATGCTTATGAGTTTTTCTCGTCAAGGATAATGTTTGTGAATTTTCCTCATCACTCAAAAAGGTTGTAGTTTACCTGTTTGATGGATTAGCAGTTCCTCAAACAGCATGCCTACATCAACTTTTTTACTTCAATTTATAGCAAAATGACTGTTTTTTAAAATATAAATAGAAAATTGAGAAAACCCCATACTTTTCATCCCAAAATTATTAAGAAATTTCCTCTCATTTTGTGTTGATTTCGTTAACAAAGCTTGACTGAAGTTATTTACAATTTAAATTTTTATAATATTAAGTTTAGAATTCCTTTCAAAATTTTTTTTTAAAAATTAATATGTAAAATTTATATATTTAGAAACTACATTAAAAATACTATTAAACACAAAAAATTAAATTTAAAAATGATAAAAAAAATGCTAATAGAAATAAGCAAAGAAGAAATAGTTAGTTTAACCAATAAATAGTTAATAGGAGAAATAAAATTGAGTAATAGTGGATAATACACTTGTTCTATCAGTTTTACATGTTGCCATTTTTAGTTCCTCAATTATTTGTAATGTGACTTTTTATGTCACTGATTTCTATTATGAATTTATGGTTTGGTTAAAATGTTACCCCCACAGCCATTTGAGAGACGAAAACAACAATTTCATAAACAATTAAGGACGAATAGTGGTGATAATATAATTGATGGGTGCTATTCGTGCCTTGAAATGTAGGCAGTCACTTTTTTTTTTTTTTTTTTTCTCGACAAATCAAGTGCTTGCAAAAGAACCTGATTCTCTCTCTCTCACTCTCTCTCTCTCTCCAAAAAGTACAAAAAACTGACCAGAAACCTCCATTGAAGTTGCCCTAAGAAACCGGCTTTCATACCTATATGTTTGTACATTTGAGGGGAATGGGAATGGAAATCCAACCCACTCACTTCTTACATAGATTGACAAGTTTATAGTGTGGAATTATACATACATACATACATACATATCATTCATCGCAGCAATTTACTTTCTCAAATGTCAGTTTAGCTGATCTTAAATAAGAACCAATCACCCAAAGATGGATATTGGGAAAAGACAATAGGGAAGCAAGTGACAGAATCACATAATAGATGTGTTTTTAAAATTGTGTACCTGACTCAATGGAGATCGAGGAAAAAATTATCTCGAGATAGAATCAGGTTATTCTGCCTTCGTATCCATACTTGACTCCCGTGACCTTGGTTTTTGCGTTTTGAAATCAAGGTCGATTAGGAAGTAGCACTTTTGTTGTTCTCTCACGTAATGGACATGACCATTCATCATTCTAACTAGTTTCTGTGACAAATGTAAGACAACTCCTTCTTGTGTTGTCCATCGAGTTCCTCCTCTTACCATGTCTTCGATAAGAGCAGAAGGGAGGCCTTGCCCGGGATGAGTCATTCTACGGGAGACAATTAATGAGATAATCATATGGAGAAGTACATTAAGGATCATCATAATGTAAGCGACTTCAAACTAATTGAAGCATGTGCTCAATCTCATATATATTATATGCTATTATGCTCAACACGCCCCTTCACATGTGCGAGCCGTGGACCATAGTCTATTTTTTTTATGAGGGCATAGGATTGGCTCTGATATCAAATTGAAGCATGTGCTCCTCCATCTCAACTAAAAGTCTAAGCTGATAGTTGGACTGCACATATATTATATGCTCAACAAAACTATCGAGAAATATGAATGATTTTAGAGGTAAAAATGAATGTATAGGACCATGATACCTGAACTGGATATGGATAAACTCATTCCCGTCTTGAATCAGCTTCAACCCCGGGGATACCCTGATTTCCACCCAACCATCTGGAGAAGGTGCGTGGCGCACTATGCTGAGCAAGAAATCCGATAGGACAAGCTGAAGCTTAATTTGATCCCCGTATATAGGGAGAGATTTGATCTGGTCCGGAATATCATGAAGTAGCTGTAAATTCTTCTCCTTCAGCGGGATCATAACTTGACTAACAACTGCATCTATCACATTTCCTATAACAAACTCTTCCGTCTTTAGCTCCACTCTGTTGCTGTAACCACGACAAAGTAACATAATCAGAAAGCCATTTACTAAGCTCATTTCCATCGCACTTACCGCATTTACTTAAAATGGCTCATTGCTGCGTTGTAGTTGCTTTTAGAAGTAAATACTAACTTTATACATTTGGAAAGCAATCGAGATTCTAGATAGACTAATCACCAATACGAGGAAAAAAAATAAAAATCAGCCAAGAGGCAAAATTCCGTACAGCTATATTGAATGATCTATTCTTAAATTTGGACGGTTCAGGAACCCAATAGCCGTTTTTTTTTAGTGGATGGATCAGTTGCATTTTCGTGTGTAGTTCGGTGGCCTATTTGAGCATTATTCCTTCAACAAAATATGCAAGCAAATAGCTAGTAATAACTGGAGATTCAAAGAAAACGAGTTACCCATCCACGATGCCTCCACTATCCATATTCTCGATTATAGAGAGTATCTGTTTTTCACAGGCTTCACTTGTCTCGAGAAACTGTTTCTGATGATCTGAAGTAACGGTACCTTCAAGGAGCTTGTGGGTGAAACGAATTCCATTCAAGGGATTTTTCATCTGCTGTTGGATGTAAGCGAACTCTTTAAGAGTCGACAGACATTCTCTATCATCTTCTATATCTCTTGCAGATATCTGCGGGTGGTCAACCGCCATGGTTTGCAAGAAGCAGAAACATCCAATTATATTCCCACGCTCATCAGTTCTCTTATTTGCGGTTATAAACACGTCTATAAAGTTCCCCTTCCTATCAAAAAACCCAAATGAGAGCTTTTCGGTATCATGACCACTTATCCCTTGGTACAAGAGAATCATAAATTTGGTAAGCGCGTCTTGACCCTTAAGCCGACACAAGCCACCGAAAATTTCACCCGGAAGTCTCTTCCCTATAACCTCGCATTTCACCAAACCGGTTAACCGCTCCATAGCCGCATTCCATTCAGAGCAGCAGGCGTTCTCATCGGAAGCAAATATTGGCGGGATTAGTGGATTAAGACTTTGTATAATAGCCTCGTAATCTCCCTGTAAGCGAACAAATTTATCCATGACAGCTTTCTCAGGAGTGATGTCTTGACCCACAAAGCACACCCCAATAATATCGTTTTTGTAGTCCCTACTTGTGCAGGCATTAACCACAAGGTATACAACTTCCTTTGTTGGATGGTTCCCGAACTTTAGCAGTTTTACTTCGACATTTCTGTCCTCCTCACCTGAACCAGCGTGAATCAAGAATTATTGCGTGCATAATATGGTCACAGTAAGAAGAGCCTGATAAGCAAGTATCCAAAAATTGAATCTTGTAATGAAATTGATAATCGGGATCATAATCGCAAAATACAAGATAACGGGTTCAGTTTTGCTGAAGTAAAGAAAGCAATACAGACACTTAGCACAGCAGATCACATAGGGACAGAGTAATGATTACGTTAACCGAGTCAATATGTAAGGCAGTGATATGTATGCAGTCCTGGATCAACTTTGAAAGTTTGAACCGATTAGAGTCCCACATTGAGAAATAGGAGAGAAACAAATGGGTTTATAAGGTCATGGGTTAGACTAGCTAATTTATTGAATTCAGTCTTTTAGTGTGGTTTGGCCCAATTGCATTATAGCCCCGTTGAAAGACCCATCTTGGCCCAATAATCCTTAGACTATTATAACATAGTATCAAAGCCTGTTTTGTCCACTTTGTTACTTTGTGTTAACCCGGTGTTTGCCCCCAGTAGTAGAAGGCATGAAATCATGAATATGTGCTATATTTTGTAATGAAGCATATCATTTCCCAATTTTCAATTTTTATAGAAAAGAGTTACCTTGTAAAGCTCGACACATAAGAGCTTTGAAAGTTTCATGTGAATCTTCATGAGTAACGTCATCAATGAGATACTTTCCAATTGCGACATTAGCTTGCAATCCTGTTAGTTCTGCAATCTTTGCATTCCATCCATTGATTAAGCCAGATGAATCAACACCAAAAATAGGAACTGTTGCTGTCTCGACCAACCTGACCAGTTCCAACGCCATTGAACTAAGTTCATAGAACCTTACCCCATCGGAATCATTCTGTTGGGGTGATGACACGCTTTTCATATAGTTCTCTCCAATCCCTTGAAGAGAATCTCTCATTATGAGCTGTAAAGAATGAATAGCATTAATTTCCGAATCCTCCCAAGGCAGACTTCTGCTTTTCACCACTTCTAGAAAGGCAATGAATGAAGATCGGGGGTGCATTCTTCCACCATCATCTTTATCCTCGGGATGATGCTTAGCCCCTCCCCATTTAACTTCCTTTGCAGTGTGAGACCTAAACCAGAATAGAAAATCCTTGGATGTGATTCTTGCAGTAGCCATGCCAGAAACTGCATCACCTAATAAGGGTGCTCCGGGATAGCCAGCATCCGAAAGACAATCCGTACTCAAACCAGTAGAATCCCCGTGATTATGTAGCAACCACTCTGCAATATCTTTAACTTGTGTCTCAGTTGGTGTTACACCAAGCAACCAACATTTCCCGTTATAATAGAGTGCAGCCCCATCACACCTCACGAGATCCATTATACTAGGAGTTTGCGTCACAATTCCAAATGGAGCATCTCGGAGAAGCATGTCACATAGTAAGGTTTGAGTTTGGAGAATTTTCTTTTCAGCCAATTGTGAGGCCAATTGAAGCTCCATATAAAGCTGAAGACTAAACGCCTGCATAAGGAACTCACATGCGTAGCGAAGAGGGAAAGGAACGTAGCGAGGAGAAGTATGGTGGCACACTACCAATCCCCATAGCTTCATGGACTCGCTACTATTAATAACAACAGCCATCACCAATGAGGCTATAGACCCCATGTTAGCCATATACTTGGTATGGCACCCATGAGGTGATCTAAGAGTCGAATTCACCAAGCAAAGAGGCTGTTTTAGTTCTTCGCATTGCAAAACCTTGACGGGTTGTGCATTGCAATCACAGATCATCCTAACCCTGTTCTGTTTAAACAAGAAACGCGCGGCTTGTGGGATATCTGTTGCGGGATAGTGCAATCCTAAATAAGGCTCTAAGTCTGACCTCCTAATTTCGGACACAACCTCGCCATGACTGTCATCATGGAACTTATAAACCATTACCCTATCGTACCCGGTCAGCTTCTGTACATCCTCCACTACTGTGTCACACAATGTCCCTATATCTCCCCCGGGGAGCGACTGAAGCCTAGAAATAGCCCGAACCGCGAGTTTCTGTGATTGCACTGCCCCAGCAAGAAGCAGTGCAGGATCAGCAGAGTTGGCAGGTTCCAAATCAATCACAATCCCTACATCAATCCTGTGGAGTACAGCATAAAAAGGCTTTTGATTAATCTTAGAATGTACCCAAATTGGGTTCAAAAGAGAAATTTCCCTAGATGCCACAGCCTTGGCCAAAGAAGCCCTTGAAGAAAGGGTGAAAAGAGTCCTAGCATCAATCCCAATCAAACTCATCCGCTCCGGAGGCTCAACACCACTCTTCAAACCCAGCAAATCAAAGCAATTCTCACTAAACCCTACAATCTTGAAACTGGGTTCTTCAATTGCAAGCATACAACCAAAGGGTTGGATAAGCCCACCCCTCTGGATTCTTGATAGATAAGCAGTCATTTCTTCTTCAGTCACATTCTGTGGGGCATGAATAACAGACCTGGAGTAGTCGAAGGACTTACCCGACTCCCTGGACTGCTCAAACTCAGCCATTAGCTTCGCATCAGCATTGTACTGAGCTATGGCCTTGCCGGTGTTCAAGTTGCTAGTAGCAGACGAAGAAAAGGTCACAGCTTTGCCATAATTCTCCATTTTCTTGCTTGTGGGTGGTTTCTTCTTTTCCTTGCTTTGCAAATCCATCCTGTGGGTTCTTGGAGGAGGTGGTGGGTTTTGCACATATACTCATGTGGGTTCACTCCTAGGAGTAGCCAACTGATGTGTACCATGACTGTGTATGTCCTTGATTCTCTCTTGTTTGAGTCTCCCCAAGTCTTGGCTTAGTCACTTCCACTCCTTTTGCATCTGTGTGGTTTATGTTTCTCTCTTTCAATTGTGTGATTAAAGGACACCAAACAATCAAACAAATATCTTTTTAGTACCATATTCCATGCCTCCAACATTTACTCACTTACTCCTCTTTCAAACCCTCCATTTAGAGTTACACATATCTAATATGGTAACCTCTTTGGAGACCAAGCATTGCTCCTCTCACCTAATGGGCGTCAGATTGTGGTGGGTAGTCACAATGTAGAAGTTATACCTATCTAATGTAATAGATTCCTTGGATATAAGCACTTGTCTCACTTAATGGGCAATAAATTATGGGTGAGAAGTGCAACGCGAGAGTTACACCTATTTAATGTGGTAGATTTCTTGGACACCAGACATTGGTCCTCCCACTTAATGGGCGACAAATTGTGGGTGGGTAGTCAAAATGTGAAAGTTATACATTTATACTTACCTAATGTGATAGATTTCTTGAACATTAGGCACTGGTCCTCCCACTAAATGGATAGTAAATTATGTGTGGGAAGTGCAGCGCGGGAGTTACACCTATCTAATGTAGTAGACTACTTGGACACCTGACAAGTCACACCTAATGAGCGATTGAACTATCGTGATTTATCCGTCTATTATCATGTAAAAAATAGTTTACTTAAATGGGATGTAAATTTTTGTGTACAGTAAAAACAAGAATGGTTAAGTTCTACGAAGCAAGACGGATTAAAGCAGTTAATTAAGCAAAGTTACAAAGAAGAGGTGAATTGAAGCAGAAAAGTTGAGTGATGTGAGTTGACAATGGCCACCTTGTTTTCACACACGGTGTCCAGCTGAGGAAGACAAGTGAGTAAATTGAATGGTGTGGGGCCTTAATGGATTTAAGCTTCAAAAATAGCAATCGTCCAACGTGGGTAAGGCTGGAAAAATTAATAATACATTCTCATGGCCATTGTCACCATTGGAGTATTATTACATTTGTTTTTTTTTTTTTTTTTTTTTTTTTTCAATTGCAAGCATACAACCAAAGGGTTGGTTTTAAATTTCATTGTGTTTAGTTTTTATGTCACCAATCAGTTTCTGGACTTCAATGCTCTAAAATAGTATATTTATGAGTTTAATTACAACTTTTGAAAATTTAAATGTCTAATTGATTTTTTGATAAAAGTTCAGGAGCCTATTTCACCATTTTCTATACTTTTATAAGGTTTCAAACTCAAATCTTAATCTCAAATCAGTTCCCTTTATACATTTGAGTTAATTTGAATATTTTAACAAGTGAAAATGAGTCAATAAATTACTAAGTGTTGTAATTTAGGATTGTTCCCTTGCGTGATCAATCTTCGGTTACGTTCGCCATTCAATTGTAATAGTATCTCAATTAAGATATTGAAATAGGACCAAGACTATGTGATCTAATAGTATCCGGGTTAGACTTCCATTTGGAAGGTTGTAAGTTTGAGCCTTAGTGGAGGAGACACAAATAATTATAACACTGGTTCAAATCCAGAAAAGAATCAAAATTTCAGCTAAACCAATAAAGCTCTACCGTTTTCTAATTTATGAAGGGGGCTGGGGCAGAATTTCATTGTCAAAGCAGGGGGGATTCTTTTTGCTTTTTTTTTTTTTTTCATTTTAATAAGGTCCCATCGGAAGAGAAAAAAAGTACAACCAAATGCCTTCAAGGAATCTTCAGGATTATGATGGCTTTCTAGACCAATTGATCAAGAATATCTAAAGGTTGTTGCTCCCCTTGAAGGTAATAACCTTCCGAACCTACGCATCCAATCTTGTGAACATATTTTTCAAAAGTTGACGTAGGCAAGGACTTGGTGAACAAATCTGCTAGATTGTCACATGAGCGAACCTTCCGAACAATAATTTTGCCACTCTTATGGAGTTCATGTGGGTAAAAGAATTTAGGTGCAATGTATTTTGTAAGATTTCCCATGATGTACCCATTACTCATCCGTGTAACACATGCTACATTGTCTTCACACAGGACAGTGAGAATATCATCTTTGTTCTCTTTACCGCACGAGTCATTAATATGATGTATCAACGACCTCAACCATACATACTCGCGTGAAACCTCATATAGAGCAATGATCTCTGAGTGATTTGATGAGGTAGCAACTAGGGTCTGTTTAACAGATCACGAAATATATTTGCCTCCACACAGGAAAACATAACTAGTATGAGATTTGGCACTATGGGGATAAGACATGTAGCTAGCATCTGAATAACTCATCAATGCAATATCCTGGTTTTTCTCAAAATAGAGACCAAGGTCTTTTGTGCCTTGGAGGTATCTGAGGATATGTTTTACTCCATTCCAACGCCTTCTAGTAGGAGATGCACTAAACCTAGCTAGAAAGTTCACTGAGAAGGCAATATCAGGCCTAGTGAAATTAGTAAGATAGAGTAAAGCCCCAATAGCACTTAGGTAAGGAACTTCGGGTCCTAGAATATCATCATTATCCTCCTTATGCCTAAATGGGTCCTTATCCACTTCTAGCGATCGGGACACCATTGGAGTGTTGAGTGGATGTGATTTATCCATATAAAATCTCTCAAACAGTTTGCTTGTATATTTGGACTGGTGTACAAAAATTCCTTCGGGGAGATGCTCGATCTGTAGGCCGAGGCAAAACGTGGTTTTCTCCTAGTCTTTCATTTCAAATTCCATCTTTGAACATGAACAGGCTTCCATAAGGTCCTTTAGTGTCCCAACCATATTTATGTCATCTACATAAATAGATATAATGCAGAAACAATCTGATGATTTCTTAATAAAGATGCATGGACAAATCTCATCATTTACATATCCTACCTTCAGGAGGAATTCGTTTAGGTGATTAAACCACATTCTATCTGATTGCTTTAAACCATATAATGACATTTGTATCTTGATTCTATACATATTCCGATCATTACTCTCCCTCATCTTGGGGATTCTTGTAACACCCTACTTTTCTAAAATCTAAAACCCAATTACTTTAACTTAAACAAGATAAATAAGTAATATTAATTAACTTAAATCCAACCAAAACCAACAAGTCGGGTGGCACCGCCACAGTCACCACTCATGGTGACTGCACAGGCTACAAAAGGGTAACTACTAGAGTCAAACTCATCAAGATAACACATCAAATGCTAAGGGAACAACCCCCGGTGTCCAAGCACCAACAAAAGATCAAACAAAAGTATCTAAATATCAATATCCAAAGTAGAGTCTAATCTAGAATCTACTAATCATAACTACGCACTAATCTAACTCGTGCACTCTCAAACACTGGGCCCATCTGAAAGGGGTTATAAAAACAAGTAGAAAATAAACTCGTTAGCAAATTAATGCTAAGTATAAAGTCACTCAACCTTGTAAAATACTATAGATATAGATTTGAAAATCATTTGACAATCACACTTAATCTCAAGTACTTTCAACACTTAAACAACAATCTCAAATCATGCTCATAAACATTTCTATATGCTTGCAGCTTATTGTAACACCCCGTGTTACGATATTCAAGCCTGGATTAGTTATGTAATTAATCCCGCTAAAGAATAGTTAAAAAGGATTTAATTTAGTTAGAATTCCCTTAATTAATTAATGTGGTCCACAATGGACCGTGGACCCTTGTCTATATTAAAGACCTTAAACCTGTTAGGAATAAAGAAAGTAGATCTGTTACTATTCAGATTCTACTTAGGAATCCTAGACCTATATATCTGTTAGGAGTAAAGAAAGTAGGCCTTTTACTTGTCAAATTCTAATTAGGAATCCTAGACCTATATATCTGTTAGGAATAAAGAAAGTAGGCCTTTACTATTCAGATTCTAATTAGAGACCCCTAACTCTATAAATAGGGAATTAGAAAGCAATTAGAACCCTTACCACCTATAGTTATATTACATGAAATTATTCCCAAGAGATCGGGCCAAAAGATTCCCCAGCACCAAGCCTAGGGAGATCAATCGGAGGGAAATCTTAGAGAAGAACCTTAATAACCAAGGGAGGATTAATTAAGGCTAAGAGGTAACTCATGTCTTACAAAACCTATTTTCCTTGCTATATCTTATTTATTGGCTCCTTTGATAATTGTATGTGTGATTCTGTGATTGAGTCTTGATAGAGCTTTGTCTAGGGTTTATGTTGTGTTTATTTGATAATCTTGATGTTGTGATTGATTATATGTGTGATCCTGCGTTTATGCATGTCTAGAACTTGTTATTAGGGCTTATTTGATGGGATCTTGATGCCCTTGTGATTCTTGTTGTTCTTGCATGTTTAGGGATTGATTCTTGAATCTTGATATGTTAGGGGCATGAGTTTAGGATTTGTTTGTGTTGGTTTCTTGACTTAATTCTTGTGGTTCGAGTCTATATTGTTGTTGATGTTGTTGTTGTGTATTGGGATGTGTTCGAACTTGGTTTTGGGTGTAATTGGGGAATTCCCAATGTGTATTGATTGATATTGTTGTGGAGCGGTGGCCACTGCGTTATTGTGCTTGTTGACTGATTGATTGTACCTGATGAGAAAGAGATGAGATTGGTGGAAAAGAATTGTTGGAGGTTGGCACAACGAGTGCCCGGTTATTGTGCTAAAGGCATAGACCATTCGGTTATCGTGCTGAAGGCACAGACCAACCTTGATTAGTTTGCTAAAGGCATAGATCAAGTTATAAGCATTGTGGTGCCATGTGTAACACCCCTAATTTTTAAAACTTTTAAGCTTATGAAATAAAGGCAAATCTATTGATAAATTCCAAACAGAGCATAAACGAAACATAATAGTCGGGGTGCTATGCCACATCTAAGCTGGAGAACTTAGATGCACAGGCTAAACTAACTAATCTAGATATAAATCCATAATTGCATACAAATCAGGGCTCGCAGGTCATCTAACTAAATCTAAGGCTATTCCGACTAGATCCGGGAATTCAACTAGCGCACTCCAAGCTACTAATCTATACCTGAAAAACATGCGGCGTAACAACCGTCAGCGAATAATGCTGGTAAGCCACTCCAATGCATTAAGTACAATATAGGTAGATATAAGAAAATCATT